ACTGCACAAGTGTAGGCATTAGGAAACCCCAAAATACCATAACAGACTTTTGTATTTGGACCCTAAGATGGCATATCAACTAATATGCAAATGACTTCAGTCACATTTGCAAATTTGACAATAGATACATTTTTACAATAAGAAACACTGTACAGATCCTAATTAGATCGATATGCATATCTGCAAATACTTGTGCATCCATTCACCATCCTAATTGTTCCAAATCTAAAGAAGTTGTTGCAGGTCTATTATTTTACCTAAAGACAGGAGTAACTTCTTCATCTAAATTGGCCTTTATTTAACCTAGTTTTGAGATGGAAGAATCTGATGTAATCTATTGTGTTAAAAATACCCATTGTTATCCAATATTTAAAATATCCATGTTCTCCTTCTCTCTTATATATTGCTCTAAGCCCTCAATCCCCACTGAGCCTCTATTACCAACATATAGACATGGCTGAGAAGAAAAAGAGCATGGAAGAAGCTAATCAGGCAATACCCTGATTAATATGAATGTCCAGAGGTATCCTAGTCGCAGCCTGAGGGAATTGGATGGGGCCCTTCTATGGATGTCCCCTCTTGAAAGTCCAGAGTGGCTGCTGTTCGTTAAAGGGGAAGCTGGTCTGAAAGGATATAAAAGAACTAATTTCCCTGGAGTCATTCAAAGGAGTCTTTTGTAGTATGAAGTTCTATCAAAACATCCTATTCCAATTCTGGCTGTGTTTACTGCTTTGGTCCAATCAGCTGCCAAGAGTGCACAAATTTCAGTTGCAATGTTAGTATTTCTTAAGTGAATGGCTGAAGCTTTGTTTCTTAAAATGGAGAAGCTGATCCATTGTAGGGTGAGGCTTTATATAGTTGACTACGGAAAACTTGGTTTGAACGTTGTTCAGGAGGCACTGTACAATATTCCCAGACAAGCATAGTTGACTATTTTGAAGATTACTATTAGCACATGGAAACTTTACTTGATAAAGACATTTAATACAGGAGGCCTCTAGTGAAATCCTGGCCCCATTTAAGTCAACGGGATTCTTGCCATTAACTTCACTGAGGCCAAGATATCACTCAGTCATACTAGTTAAAATGGAACTTTTTGAGGTGATACATTCCATAATGCATCAGACATCCTGAAATAATATCTGTAAAGAATCCAATTTTTAAAAAACAGATAGCAAGGTAGTTGATACTAACATTTGATATGCTCAAAGCCGGAGTTATTTTGAAATCCATTAACTGTTTATAAAGTCCTTGTTTTTAGGAGGTCTGTTTTCTTTCAAGATACATTTATTGTGGTGGTAAATGTAGCAATTGCTGTGTTAATGTTGGTGAGGATGTTTATATACATGAGTGGCATTTGACATAGGACTCTGGAAATAGGCTGAATGTAGTTGTAAGAGGGTTCTCTGTATTTTTAGATAGTTAGTAGTTAGTATGGTCACAATCTAAATATGTTAAAAGAATTCAGTTGGGAAACAAGAATCAAGTAGTAGTATGATTTGTCACCAGTCTTAATTGAAATAGAATCTGTAGCCACTGTTAGAAATAAAATTCAAATACAATGATTACAAACAGAAAATATGCAAGCAAACCTTATTCAATGTTGATGAGTTTCTAGTAAATCTTTACAACCCTGAAAGAGCTTTCACAAATTAGGTATCTTGGTATCCACAATGTTTTGGATAAAGGAGAACTCTTCAAAGCTAATTTTATTAAACAATTTACGAAAGCTATCAAAGGACTAGAAAAATGGGCTGGAATACCACTGTGGTATCTCTCATGAGAGGATTAGTGATATTAATTATAATTATTAGCGATATTAATTATAACTCTCCCACAAGTCAACTATCTCTTCTCAAATCTCCTCTTTGATATCCCTCAACTCTTTTTCAAACAAATGAATCTCAGTGTTTCTACATTCATTTTGGTCAATCAGGCACCCAAAGTTGAATCATAGACTGTGAAACATTCTTATAAAAGGACAACTGGCAGGCACAAACAAATCCCTGATGCAGGAAGAATAAGGCACAGAGCCATGTCAGATTTTTTTAAAATAGCTAAAATGTCGTGAAAATACCCTGTGCCTGTATAACAAACTAGCTGAAATTATGGGGACATAATTCAAGTCATGAAAAAAAATAGAAGAAAAAGCATTCATTGTGCAATCTGTTCACATTACCAAATATAAACGTTGAGTCTTTGGATAAAGCACTTTATTGTTAATCAATGTTCTTGAACTTTTTACTATTTTCAATTGAACATGTTTGTTTTTCCAATTGCTGAATCAATATGAAGCTGATGAAACTATATGAAGTGTATGAGAATGCCAGCAATCCTCACTAGCATGTTTCAGCCAAAACTGTTCTTTAGTTGAGAGCTGCTCAACAGATGCGATTGTAAAATTCAGATCCTGGATATAGGTATTTAAAGGGACAGTATCAAAAATGGTAGACTAGAACGTGGAATAACTTTTTTTTCTTAAATTTATATAATCCACATAATTGTATATGTTTTTTCCCAAAACAAATGCTTAAATAGACTTTCTTCAATTAAAAATAAATCAGTGAGAGTAGCCCAGCATTTCTGGATAACTCTACTTACACAACCCACTGTGAACTTGTGTTAAAAGAAAAGATTCATGTAAGTTTTCACCTTCAAGCTACCAAGTTCAAGTTGTTATTCAGTCAATACAATAAACATTTTAAATGTATCTTTATAAACTGATGTTTTGAATATAAAGAGGATTTTGTTGGGGGTAAGGGAATCTTAATAAAGGGACAGTGGTAAAGGAACAATGTATGTTTTGCATTCTTCTGATTAGTTACAGTTGATTTGTTGCCACAAGAACCAGGGAGGTAAATGTGGTTGCCAGGAGGATAGACGTACAGTTAAAGAAAAGAAAATAAGAGGTGATGCTCATCTGAAAGATAATGAGAAAATAGTCTGCTTTGACTTTATGTATGCAATGTTGTTGTAGATCTATTTGTCACAGGATATTAGAGAGACAGGGTGGGTGAGGTAACATTTTTTACTGGACCATCTTCTGTTGATGAGAGAGCCAAGCTTTTGAGTTACACAGAGCTCTTCAGGTCTGGGAAAGGTATTCAGAGTGTCACCGCTAAATACAAGATCATATAAATAGTTTAGCATAAGTAGTAAGTACATATTCTATGAGACTATTCAAGGTGAAATGGCCCATTAACATCCCTGTAGTCATAGGACGAAAAGGGGAGGTTAGTGGGTTACAGATTTTTGTAATAAGCCATAAATCCAGTGTCTTTATTAAGACTGTGATTTTTAGTTTCTAGCAAAGTTATGAATTTAAGCTCCTGAGCTCATCTTTTGAAGGTGTTGTGCAGGTTTCCTTTGAGGATGACGACTGATAGGTCAAATGCAGAGTGATTGCTTTTTGAAAAGTGTTCACACACAGGTGATAGAGTATTTTTGTCTTTTGTCATTTTCCTGTGTGAGCTCATTTGAGAGAGTAGTGATTGTCTGGTTTCACCCACATAGTAGTTATTGGGGCATTTAGTGCACTGGATGAAGTACACCACATGTTGTGATTAGGTAGGTGTAGGACCCATAGATCTTGAAAGGTCTGTAGTGTGGGGGAGAGGGGGTAATTTGTAGCAGTGGAGATTTGTCCGCAGGTTTTGCATCTGTTGTTCTAGCAGGGCCTGGTGCTGCTTTGAGTTGGTGGTTCCTACTCCCATGGGGACCTTGCTTCTGATGATGAGCTTGGTGAGGTTGGAGGATTGTTTGAAGGCCAGAAGAGGGGGTTCAGGAAAGATTTCTTTCAGGATAAGGTCCCCATCGATTATGGGTTATGGTTGTTTGATGATACCCTGTATGGGTTCCAGAGTGGGGTTGTACATGACAGCTATGAGGGTGAAGTCAGAGGGGGGTTTATTTTCATATCGAAGCAGGTTCTCTCAGGGTGTTTGGGTGGTTTGGATTTTGTTAGGCACCAGTTTATTCGGGTAGAGTTTTTTGGGGGTGAGTAGAGAATTTCATCTAGTGTCATATTCACAATAAGGAGAAAAGAAAGCACTTTGCAGGGTATATGTCAAAAGCTGTATATATTGCCTCATGAGAGGCCAGAAGTGTTATTACTTCAATTCTGAAGGATGCTGTACTATGGTTAATAGTTATTTATTATAAGTAGTTTCAGTATTTTGCCACAAAATCATAGGCATCATCATTTAAGTATATCTGGGGCAATGAATAGTCCAGCATCACAGTCACTGTAGCCGTATATAAATGGGATCCAACATAATGGCTTGTTAAATTTAATTTAATTTAAATTAATTTTTTCTTTTTGGTAGAGCAATTTAGGACCACGGCTGAAAGAATTATTTTGCTATGCCAGCAGTATTATACCTTGGCAGTAGTTGATTTGTATCTTACTGAGGATGTTGCTGTTTTGATAAATGTATTGTTATACTCTCATTTAAATTCACTTTAACTTTTATAGAATTATTAGGTAGGCAGAATCTGCAGAAAAAGTACAGGTTTCTAATATGTCACATTCATTTAAATTCATTGTAAAACTCCATGATGCAACTTTACAGTTTAGGTAAATTTACAAATAAGTTAAGGCATTTATGCACAATTGATAAGAATTGGTTGGTTTTTTTCTGGTGTGTATTCAAAGTAATTTTATTTTTCTTATGAAAGTACAACTGTAACAATCATTTTCATGTTAGTACTCACTTATGTAAAATTGACCAGGTTTTTTTAAGTAGTTTTTATTTCAAGTTTATTGTTAGACTAGTGAAACAAAGAAGTAAGCAGTGCAATTTAAATCCTTATAGTAGATAACAATATTTTATTTTGATCCTGTTTATATAGTTCATAGTGCTCATTACTTAAACATTGTATGGGTTGTTCGTTTTATGTTCTTAATAAACAGTTTAAAAATATTCTCTTGTAAAGTATATTTAACTCCCATCAATCCTTCATTTAAGATGACTGATTTAAATTGCTTATTTATTTTTCAGTGTAAATGGTCCAGAAAAGGCTTCATTCGCACAAGATGGTGTATTACTGATTGGTATGTTGCATCCTATCAAGTTATTTATGATTATCTTCATTTCATGTGTATTTTCTATGAGAAACTTTATGTATATAACCTAATTTATTTGCTACAAAGAAGAGATGACAGATCATGCTTAGCTTTATTATGTGCATAATAATGCTCAGTAAATTGTAAATGACAAGTGGTAAAACTCACTTTTATCAATGTGATTTTAATATTTGCATATACTTGCCATTAGACTGATCAAGAAAATTATCTGTGAGCCACAGACATCCAAAAAGCTTTGGAAGTATTTATGAAAAAATATGCCATTCTCTATGTACTCATTCAGCTAGCCATTTAGAGCCCAAGCCACTGCCTACTTAAGTCAATTGAAAAACTTCCAGTGACTTCACTGGGTGTTGGATCAAGCCCATACACATCAGTTCCTGCTACATACTTGTGCACTGAAACACACTTGCAATGAGCAATTGTTCTTTCTTTGCAGAATTTAGGTCTGCTGTACTATTTTGGGCCCAGATTGTGGCTCATCCTATGCTGGCCAAATAGTTTAAAAACTCGGAATTGTAAATATTCAGTTTGCTCTTATCTGTAGGGTTACATTTTTAGTTATTATATGTTAGATGGGATAGTGCCTCCATAAGAAATCAAAGGGAATTGAGAGGTTTATCCCTCATAGATGTCTACTGTTTTCAATAAATTATTATTGCTGCACAGGTCTTTAAATATAAATATATTCAGTTAAAATGGTGAATATTTAAGATATTTAGCAATCCTTTCCTTTTAAGAGCGCTTAGGAAAGTGTGAGTTTGTTGTGTAACCCTGAGATGAATTAGTAATTTATGCTAAAATAATGTTACTTAGAAAATAATGTAAACAGAAAACTAAGTGCAACATAGTAAGAGAAGCTGTTTGAAAGTTTGTGGACAAAAGGATCTGAACCTAATATCAATAATCTGAGGGAAAATATTTTGTGATCTGTTTGAAAAGTTTGTGACACTGACTGTACTTGACTATCAATTATGTGAATTACTTCATGAGATTACCAAACCCACTTGAGTTGTGTCTGATGATAGGCTTATAAGAGAGAAGGTCATGTGGACTAACATTCACTCTTATGTTAGTTTTGCATTATTTCTTAACTTATCAATAGTTTTTAAAGCACAGCATTATTGTGTAGTGGCTGAGAATGGGTCACATATCTCAGTGACCTAAACCAGAGAAACTTCAGCGCAGACTGACTCTGATGTTGTGGTACATTTAAGAGAAAAAGCTTCTATATTTGGGACATTTAAGCTTATTTCATATTTATTTATTTTGGGGCATATTTCTGTATTTGTCTTTAAAATTTTAAAGGAGTGTAAGGGACAAAAATTGGAAAGAAAAAAAAACTGGAAAAATTGGTTAAATTTCACCTTCGTTTATCCAGGAATGAATGGCTCAGAAAGAGGCAAGCTCTATCTCTGAAGAACACCAAATATATGTTTCTTATTCTTCAAGCTGTTGGTAAACTGCTGCTATAGATATGGCAGATTTCAGGGGAAATTAATGGTTGTTTCTGATATAATTTTGGGTAATTAGAATGGAAGATCTTGTTCTAAATATCAAATGCATCCATTAGATTCTAAAAAAAAAAGCAGGGTAAATAATAATGTATTGTGCCATCAAGAAAGCATGAATATGGTACCCTCAAATAGGTTGAGGCATGGTGGCTGAGTGGTTAAAGTACTTCATTATAATCCCCAAAACTGTGGGTTTGAGTCTTGCTCAATCTCACACCGAAAGGCTACCTCTAGTTCGCCCAACTGCAAAATGGGTACCTGATCCACAGAGGTGAGAAGTCAACGGTATTGGCTATGGAAACTGATGTGCCTTAAACTGCATCAGCCTGATGAGCCATCTGCGCCTTGAACTTTTTTTTTTTTTTACAACCAAATAATGTCCAAGATCATTACAATATTACATATAAAGCCGTTTTCTGAGAAGAAGCTGTACCACCTATTAACTTTGTTTCCTATGATCATCTGCAGTTGACTATTAGACGTTTCTTTGGTAAATAGTTTATCCGTTTTTTAATTAGTTGCATTAATATTGTTAACTCTTTGGGTGAGATAGAGAACTGGAGCTCTCTGAGATTCTGTGTTCTGAATACATTTGATCCAGATTTAGGAACCTATACTGCAATGTATTTATGCGTGTACCTAATTTTAAGCACATGAATAGTCTCTTTGAAGTCAAGATTCATGTACTTAAAGTTAGATATGTCCTAAAGTACCTTGCTGAAATACATCCTAAATGAGTAACATTCACAGCAGAGGTATATGCAAGACAAAGGGTATATGTAGGTGATATAGATTTTGAAGGTGCTTATATGCAAATTATATTATTAATAATTACTGATATTGGGATCTGATTGTGCAGGACACTGTACAAACACAGGAGAGTCCCAATCCCAGAAAGCTTGAACGTGGTTCCTATCTTATGATAAGGAAAAATACTTAATATTCACCAAACTGCCTTCACAGATCCTTACTCTTAGGAATCATGTGTGCTGCTGTATGGATCCAGAACTGGAAAAAGCAGTAAGGGTTGTGAGAGACCCAGACCAGTGGGGTACAGGAGTCTGGTAGAGGGCAAATATACTGGTCACTGGATGAGTAGTTTTCTGTTCCCTGAGTGACCAGAGCAGGGGCTGCACTAGAGTAATCAGGAACCTGCTAGAACTAGTTAAGGCAGGCAGGCTAATTAGGACACCTGGAGCCAATTAAGAAGAAGCTTCTAGAATCAATTAAGGCAGGCTAATCAGGGCATCTGGGTTTTAAAAAGGAGCTCACTTCAGTTTGTGGTGGGAGTGTGAGGAGCTGGGAGCAAGAGGCGCAATGAGCTGAGAGGGTGTGCTTCTGGAGGACTGAGGAGCACAAGTGTTATCAGACACCAGGAGGAAGGTCCTGTGGTGAGAATAAGGAAGGTGTTTGGAGGAGGCCATGGGGAAGTAGCCCAGGAAGTTGTAGCTGTCATGCAACTGTTACAGGAGGCACTATAGACAGCTGCAGTCCACAGGGCCTTGGGCTGGAACCCGGAGTAGAGGGTGGGCCCGGGTTCCCCCCAAACCTCCCAATTGACCTGGACTGTGGGTTCTCCCAGAGGGGACGGTCTCTGGGCTGTTCCCCACCCAACATGGTGAATCTCTGAGGCAAGAAAATCCGCCAATAAGCGCAGAACCAACCAAGATAGAGGAGGAACTTTGTCACAGGGTGTAATAGGGTAACATTATACTACAATATATGCACCACAGCCATATCTATAAGGGAGGCTCTTCAGCCGTGTCCCACAAGGTACAGCTTTTCCTTTTGCCATTGGACTTGGAACTGTTGGTGTCTCACCACATTTCCCATGTTCTCTGACTCTTTACTGTAGTTCTTCATGTGTTCTGTTGTTCAAAGATAGTTATAAAAAACAAAGGTATTTTTCTCTTCTGTGGATATTTAGAATGTGAAGCATTTCAGATCCTAAAACAAGGAGAGTTTGATTTTAAACTGTGTGACAAATGTTCACATACAATATTCGTAAGCGATTAATATTGTTCTTGGTTGTTGTATTTAGAATATGCACATTAATTGGCTGAGCATTTGGTGACAAACAAAGGAACGGCTACTTCCTCCTTTGATAAACTCTGATTTGGCCATAAATTAGGGAGGCAACTGTCAGATAAATTTAATGCTCTTTAATCTTCCTGAATCCAGGTAGCACAGCATGTGCCTCCAAGGATGGGGCTCTGTGGAGGAATATATATTTATAAAAAGAACAGGAGTACTTGTGGCACCTTAGAGACTAACAAATTTATTTGAGCATAAGCTTTCGTGGGCTACAGCCCACTTCTTCGGATGCATAGAATAGAACATATATTGAGGAGATATATATACACATACAGAGAGCATGAAAAGGGGGGAGTTGTCTTACCAACTCTGAGAAGCCAATTAAGTAAGAGAAAAAAAACTTTTGAAGTGATAATCAAGATAGCCCAGTACAGACAGTTTGATAAGAAGTGTGAGAATACTTACATGGGGAGATAGATATATATTTATAGAACACCAATTATTGGTAACTAACCAAGTCTTTTCTTCTTGCCTCATGAGGGACCCCAAGGTCTGTGCTGCCTTCTTGGGCTTCCTATTTTGGGACACTTTGAAGCTGTGTTTAGAGAAAACATTATTCAAGGATGGGTTCAGAGTAAATTTTTATTCCAAGATAGGAAATGAATAATTGCTGGAGGGATTGGGCTGTGTGGCTGAATGATTTGATTAAACTTTACATTGAGTATAATTTTCATAGGGCTATTTTCTGCCTGCCCTTTAGAGGGCCACTCCATTGTAAAGGGTAAAAATTAAGAGGCCCCACAAACCTTTGTGTGATCTGCTTAAGGGATGAGCAGAATTGCAGTTGCTATGGTCAAAATTGTGCTCTGATGGGCATCCGGGCATCCAAAGGTGATGGAGAAGGGTCAGGCACAGGCAGAGAACATATACCTAATGAAATAGGTGTAAGACTATTGCCATCTGTTTAAGCGTGCATGTGCCTGTTCACTAAATAACAGGTGACCACATGTGTAAGAAATTCTGATTTGTTTAAACACATTACTTTTCATATGATTTATAGAGTTCCTTTTACCCAAAGGTTTTTAAAACCTTTCTAGATTGTACATTTGGGGAAAATTCTAGCTTCTCACACACAGAAAAAATCCTCTGGGCTGGAGACTAACAATTAGTTAACCTCAAAGGCCACAGAAGCAAATGACACTCTGTATTTTGGTAGCTAAAACTGGTTCCATTATATAAAATCTGGAACTTCATGGCTCCAATTTCTGCTTCTGTGCCACAGCAAACAGTTCCTTCAACAGCTTTGTTCTGAGTAGAGAGACTAAGGATATGTCTACCCTGGAGTTAGAAAGAATAATTTCCAGCTCGAGTTGACATACTCATGCTAGCTCTGATTTAGTTAGTGCACTCAAAATAGAAAAGTAGCTGCAGGAGCGTGAGCAGCGGGAAAGGCTAGCCACCCCAGATATGATCCATTTGAGACCCCAGGTATATACTTGGACCAGCTAATCCCTTGCACTGCTTGCACCATCATGGCTACACTTCTGTTTTTAGCACACTACCTCGATCAGAGCTAGCACAGGTATGTCTCCTCAAGCTGCAAATCACACCTAACAGCTGTAGTGCATTTATACCCTTAATCTCCCTACTCAAAGCAGAGCTATTGAAGGAAATGTTTGCTGCAACACAGAAGCAGAGGCTGGAACTGTGAAGTTCTAGGGTTTGTTCAATGGAAGCAGAATGAGATGCTAATGGTATAAGGTAAAGTGACATTATATTCATTAGAATGTTTCTAAAAATCGGAAGTAAAAATAGAGGGTACACCTCTACCCCAATATAACGCTGTCCTCGGGAGCCAAAAAATCTTACCGCATTATAGGTGAAACCACGTTATATTGAACTTGCTTTGATCTGCTGGAGCGCTCAGCCCTTCTCCCCCCCCCATAGCGCTGCTTTACTGCGTTATATCCGAATTCGTGTTATATCAGATTGCATTATATCGGGGTAGAGGTGTATAGTGCAATTGACATTGCAAAGGACGTCATATAGACAGGAATATTGCCAAGATATGATTATTGTTGTTCATATTACAACACTGTCCAAAATATGCAAGGTACTGTACAGGCATATAGCAAGACACAATCCCTACCCCAAAGAGCTTACATTCTTATGGCAGATATGGCAGAACTACTGAAAGCTGCAATAATAGGGGGAGGGAAAGGAGGATGGGCAGACAAAGGTTACATAAACAAGATCAATTGCTAAACAGCCAGTGGGGCCACTGGATGATTGAGATGCTAAAGGAGATTCAAGGACGATTGAATGTTATTGCTGAGAAACTAAATGAATTCTTTGTATCGGTCTTCATGGCTGAGGATGTGAGGGAGAGTCCCAAACCTGAGCCATTCTTTTTAGGTAACAAATCTGAGGAACTCTCCCAGATTGAGGTGTCATTAGAGAAGGTTTTGGAACAACTTGATAAACTAAACAGTAATAAGTCACCAGGAGTTCTGAAGGAACTCAAATGTGAAATTTCAGAACTACTAACTGTAGTGTGTAACCTATCATTTAAATCACCTTTTCTACCAAATGACTGGAGGATAGCTAATGTGACGCCAATTTTTTAAAAGGTCTCCAGAGGTGATCCCAGCAATTACAAGCCTGACTTCAGTATTGGGCAAACTGCTTGAAACGATAGTAAAGAACAAAATTGTCAGACATGTAGATGAACATGATTTGTTGGGGAAGAGTCAACATGGTTTTTGTAAAGGGAAATCATGCCTCACCAAGCTACTAAAATTCTTTGAGGGGGTCAACAAGGATGTGGACAAGGGGGATCCAGTGGATAGAGTGTACTTAGATTTTCAGAAAGCCTTTGACAAGGTCCCTCACCAAAGGCTCTTAAGCAAAGTAAGCTGTCATAGGATAAGAGGGAAGGTCCTCTCATGGATTGGTAACTGGTTAAAAGATAGGAAACAAATGGTAGGAATAAATGGCCAGTTTTCAGAATGGAGAGGGGTAAATAGTGTATTTTCAGTATATTCATAAATGATCTGGAAAAAGGGGTAAACAATGAGGTGGCAAAATTTGCAGATGATACAAAATTGCTCAAGATAGTTAAGTCCCAGGCAGACTGCGAAGAGCTACAAAATGATTTCTCAAAACTGGGTGACTGGGCAACAAAATGGCAGATGAAATTCAGTGTTGATAAATGCAAAGTAATGCACATTGAAAACATAATCCTATCTATACATATAAAATTATGGGGTCTAAATTGGCTGTTACCGTTCAAGAAAGAGATCTTGGAGTCATTGTGCATAGTTCTCTGAAAACATCCACTCAATGTGCAGCTGCAGTCAAAAAGTGAACAGAATGTTGGGAATCATTAAGAAAGGGATAGATAATAAAACAGAAAATATCATATTGCCTCTATATAAATACATGGTATGTCCACCTCTTGAATACTGCATGCAGATTTGGTAGCCCCATCTCAAAAAGATATATTGGAATTGGAAAAGTTCAGAAAAGGGTAACAAAAATTATTACGAGTATGGAACAGCTGCCATATGAGGAGAGATTAATAAGATTGGGACTTTTCAGCTTGGAAAAAAGACGACTAAGGGGGGATATGATAGAGGTCTGTAAAAGTATGATTGGTGTTGAGAAAGTAAAGAAGGAAGTGTTATTTACTCCTTCTCAGAACACACAAACTAGGGGTCACCAAATGAAAAACAAAAAAAAGGAAGTATTTTTTCACATAACACACAGTCAACCTGTGGAACTCCTTGCCAGAGGAGGATGTGAAGGCTAAGTCTATAATAGGATTCAAAAAAGAACTAGATAAATTCATGGAGGATAGGTCCATCAATGGCTATTAGCCAGGATGTGCACGGATGGTGTCCCTACCCTCTGTTTGCAGAAGCTGGGAATGGGCAACAGGGGATGGATCACTTGATGATTACCTGATCTGTTTATTCCCTCTGCGGCACCTGGCATTGCCCACTGTCGGAAGACAGGATACTGGGCTAGATGGACCTTTGGTCTGACCCAGTATGGCCATTCTTATGTTCTTATTTAGTTGTTATGCATAGAGCTGGTAAGAGAAAGGTAATTCCATGTTGCAGAGGATTTTAATATTTCAAGATCTGGTTTCATTCCAATGAAGAGCAAAACCAAAAATGTCAAAATTCTCTGTGAAAGGGAATGGAACACCAGCTCTGGGGCTGTCTGCCTGGAAGGCTGCCCTGGTGCCGCAGACCCTGGCAGTCCTGGGGTTCCTGGTAGCCCACTGGGTGGGCAGGCAGGTGAGCTGGCAGGAAGTCAGGTAGGTTCCATCGGATCTTCAGTGAAATCAAACCATTTCCACAAAATGTTTCAATCTCTAAAACACTGTTTCATCTGAATTTTTCCAACCAACTCTAGTTATGCATATGTCAAGTTACAGTTTGCCCAGTTTGCACAAAAATTCCCACCCCTGCCTCTGAGCTGTAATTGATCTCAATCTTTCTATTTTTGTATAATACATAAACTTTAAACAGAAGCCTAGCTGAAACCTTAACTGTGGATCAGATTGGTGCTACTCTCCATGGCAATTTCTACTATGATAGCATAACTTTGCACTGTCTGGGTAAATGTAAGTTGCTGTAGCAGTGAATATACAATTTTGTGCTATGATGTTGAATGCTCCGCTGCTTGCTGCTAATGTTTTTTCTTTTATCCTGAGTCATTTTAATTTGTTTTTCCTTTGTCATAGTGCCTTTGACTTGGTAAACATTCATCTTTTCCATGATGCTTCCAATTTAATTGCTTGGGAAACAAGCCCATCGGTTTACTCAGGAATACGACATAAGGCTCTTGGTTATGTACTTGATAGGTATGTATTAGTCTCTATTAGTCTCTCTCATCCTCCTCTTCCCCTTAGTAGTTTATAAAAGCTATGATAAAAATTACTTTCTAGCCATACCAAGATTTTTTTATTCCATTGTCCAATAACAGTCACACACAGTATACTGTTTATAGCATTTTCCTCCACTTGCAAAACTGCACTAATATAGATTAAAACAATACACTTTTTATAAGAGTTAAGAATGTTTTCACATGGATCCGATTAGAGGTCCATTTGTGATGCTGATTATTTTAAAAGAAATTGAAAAGACTGGGGAATTTCTATGGACTTTCTATAGCCTTTTGTAGCCTAGGGGAAAAAGTATATTTTTAAAATGTGTTAGCACATCTTAAAAGTACACCTTTTTTCCCCTAGTCTCCACAGGGGCTAAGTAAAAACAAATAGTGTTGATGTTCAAATGTGTTTTTAATGCAAGGTATGTTAATCTCAACACAGGCAGTGTACACTAAACATCTAATCTGTTTGTAAAAGAGAATATATTATTTGTACACAGCTATTGATATCACCACAGTCTATGAAAGTGCTAACAAAGTAAACTCAGTCCACTGGGCAGTGCACTGTCAGAATATGCTAAAGAAACTTTTGATAATCCTCTTTAGCAGTTATGGATCCATGATAAAGGCAGCCATCAAGAAAAGATTATTTATGTATGCGCATACATGTATAGGCAAAAAGGAAGTATGTTTATACAGCAGTAGCCTGAACTGTCACATTTAATGATTCTTCTGGAAGATTTGAATGTTTCTTTTATGAAGTATTGACTGACTTCATGTTTCCCCGAGAAATAGAGCCTAAAAGTTTCTCTTTAAAGAAGTCTTCATATGCAATGTTATCAATGACATAATGGTGATACTGTAAATGTAACTTAACTTTAACTGTAGCCCACGAAAGCTTATGCTCAAATAAATTTGTTAGTCTGTAAGGTGCCACAAGTACTCCTGTTCTTTTAACTTTTTAGGAATCTCTCTATAATTAGGAGTGAATAGGTTCATTCATAACATGGTTCTTTTCATGCAGTTCTTTCTCTTTTCCTTTCTTATCTAAACATTGAAATTTTCTCATCTTTAAACATACATGCATGCTTTCTGTGACATTGCTAGTAGTTACATCTCCCTGCTTCTTAACAGATTCCCATCACCCTGCACCCAACCTTCCCTCCCTTGTTCCTTGCAAGACACGTCCCTTCCACTCTCTCACATACACTCTCCCCAGACTTTGCCTCCTCACCCTCACACACACACAGTCAGCTGGCACCAGTATGGCCTTCTTTTTCTCTCTGGGCAGGAAACAAGTGCATTCTAACATATGTTAATTAACATGTTTAAAATCCTAATGCAGACAAGGCAAGTTGTAGCTGTAACGCACATAAGGTAGCTGGTTGAGACAAACCATAGGGTCCTCGACCAGCTAACACATGTTAAAACTACAGTTTGCCTTGACTCAGTAGGATTTGAACATGTTAGCTAATGTGCTAAAAACAGACCTTTTCTCCTAGTGAAGACTAAGCCTCTGTAGATACCATGACATGCTGCTTTCCCTACTCCTCCTTCTAAGCCCCCATGCTTCCCAAGTTCCCTCTCTACAAATCCTAGTGTAACCCACACACCTTCTGGGTGTGGTGTTCTGTCCCATCTAGTGGCACCGAGACCGCTTAGAGAGAGAGAATTAAATGAGTCTGCTCTACAGCCTTGGTTAAGAGCCAGTTGGCTTTTAGCTCATACGGTAGAGGCTCATGCACTAAGTTCCAGAGGTCCCCAGTTCAATCCTGCCCGTGGTTTTTCAGTAAAAGATGTCCAAGACCAGTGAAGAAACTGTCACAGCCACATCTTTTCAGAAAAGGTTGAGTGAGTTAACTTTATTTATTTGAGCCTTAATATACTGGAGATCAGCCTAAGAGTGTTGCTATATGGGAAATCCAAGTTCAGACTGGCAGGTACTAAGAGTGGCTTGTGCATCCCTCCCACAAGCTATTGCTTTGAGCAGCACTGGATGGGTAGCCTCATAAGGAGCACTTTGGGAGGATGGGGGAGCGGGGGCATCAGATGAGCAAGGGAGAAGGGGTAAATGGGTCAAATATGGGAGGATCTTAAAAAATCCCCATTCCTCCACCCTAACAAAGGTTAGGCTGTGCTCAAAGGTTGGTCTGAGATTAAGGGTGACTCATGGTCAATGAACCAGCTCCTCTCTCCATCATTTACACACAATGTTCCCCTTTGCACTGAGATGCTGCATGCAATATCATCCTCTGTGAGGAATTCTCTACAAAAGAATAATAGTTTATTTTGCTGATTGTTTCCTATAGAAAATGAAGAGGAAATAGAGCCAAATTTAGATATCCAGCATAAAATACCTTGTTTGTATGTAGACAGTATTGTGCTTTTTCCTATTTTTAGATTTTAATTGAAAGACTCTTAAAGTATAGAATTAGGTATAGATACTTTCTTATTTAGAAAATAGAGTAGCCAAAGCCTTACCTCTCTGCTTAGGTCTCCAGGATAATTTTCATTTAGCTAAAAACTGGCCCATCTATTTAATGAAAGATTTAGCTTTTTTTCCACTGTGTGCACAACCTACTTTTCCACTATACACCACATTTAGTGTGTCATTCTCACTTTTGGGAGGGCTGGAAGAAGAGAAATCATTATTCTGATGCCATTTCTATCAGAGTAAAGCGGTTAAAACATTTTTTTTTAAATCATGAACTTTTTTGATGTTATGTAAATAGGTTGGCTGTGTAAGTTTATAAGAGATACTTTGAATTAATGAACTAAGCTTCAGTGACTTCTAGATCTGTTTGACTAGGAGTGCTTTTAGCCACAAAATATTATATGTATTGTTACAGTACCCCAACAGATAAGATAATTATTCTTTTGCTTTGTTTTTTTTGGAGGGGGTTTCTGTTCCTCTTCTCTTTTGTTCTGCATTAAGGAACCTAAACAGATCTATCTGTATTATTTATTGCTTGCTTGCCACAGCATGCTATGTGCTTCATTTAGCTAATTTTGGCTTTGGACCTCCCACGATGCCCTGGCAAGGGTAAGGAAATCAGACTGTAGTATTAGTGTTAACTGTGGGTCAAAGATGTCATGATGGTATATCATTAAAATGTGGCATTGCCAAAAACTGCCCTAACTCCCCTGTCTTTTTAGAAAAGAAAACCTTCAATTTTAGGTTGCACTACTACTGTGGGTTTGCATTCACATGAATTGCTCATTTTGAGAGAGCAGCCAGCCGCAGATCCGGACCTCCATAGTGAAATGATGGGCTGACTAGCACAAAAGAGGAGTTCTGTAAGAGCAGTGAATAATGGGAAACCCCTTTCATGGGCACTGCTAACCTTTTGGCAGCCACCAGCAAACTCTATTCTGATCTGCTGATTGGGGAGGACAATACACTGAAGCTCACTTTGAATGAATGCTACCACCAACAGTGTCCCCATTCAGAAGGTTTTGGGAACCATCTTTGACCATTGTCTGCCATCACTCCTTCAGACAGTAAGAAAAGGAAAAGTGAGAACATCTATAGGGGGGAAAGTACTTCTTTTCTCGGCTTTAATCTCTCTTTAAAGCTTCATAGATCTACATTTCCAGCTGAGCTACAGGAGATATGCAGTGTCAGATAAACATAGAAGAGAGAGTTTTCAAGCCAGGCCTTTAAATCCCCTTATCTGCATGAACTAATAATGCAGATTTAGTGCTGTTAAAAACAGAGGCTGGTAAGTCTTTTCCTCTAAAGCCTTTAAACTGCTAAAGAGCATTTAACCGCAATGCAGTTCAGACTCAGTGAACAATACTGAGAAGGGAAACAGTTTAATGAGCTAAACCTTCAGTGAATGAAACAGAAACACCTTCTCACAGTTGATGTAAGTCACTGTGGGAGTAAGTGACCCACAGTTCTGTCCTCTGTGTCCATCTGCATTTCTGTGAATATCTTCATAAACATGAACTAACTGCAACCTCGTTAATGTGGGGTTCAAATGACCACAAGATTCTCTTATGCAAGAATTAAAAGCAATAGATACAAGTAAAACTTAAGTAAATTATTTTAACATTACAAAAGGCTTGTTAACCGCATATATTATTTTATGCCAAAGCTTTAGTACATCGGCATGAAGCTTCTCAAATATCTTTAAATTATAAACTTTTTAAAAATGAAAGTGAATGTTAGAGGTATCTAGAAATGTTTGCATGATTATGTAGTAATTCCAAATACGATTTTTTGAATGCAAATACTTAATCTAATAATATTAGAATAGTAAACAGCTTATTTTGGTTTAAAAAAACAAAAAGTGGAGGCATAAGAATGATGTGGTGAGGAGAATGTGCAAAGGGCAACTGGAGTATGTGTGTAATGTGTCGTTTTATTTTTTACCTTTATAATTCAGTGACCATGAGGAAGACAGAATTATCATGGACTTTTTGTTGTAGACTATATATAGACAAATCCTTTTCTCAGCATTTGCATGAATCCAGTCTAACTTCTTGGAGGTCAATGGTGTTACTCTGGATTTACACTGATATAACAGAGACTGAATTTACTCCATATGCTTCAGAAGTGAACATCTGAAAGCTGCTTCCCTTCCCATATTGGATAATGTACTTGCCTAATCCCGCCCCTGTCTTCACTGCAATTGCATCTTCATAACTTCTAAATTTGGGGAATTAAGTTCATATGTGAAATAGGGAGAGGAACATGCGGTTAACAGCGTAGATCACAGACTTTGTGCACATGCTTCACTTCACGCCTACATAAATATTTTATTTACAAATTAGTCTTTTTGTCTGCAGGAAATTAGACTACTTTTGAGCCAAATCCTACAGCCCTGACTCAGGGAAAATTTCTGTCAACTTCAATAGGATTGTTGCCTGACTAAGGACTACAAGAGGGTGTTCTTTATGAGTATTATATGAGAGTTAAATAAGAATCAGGATGTGAGATAGTAGCTTGATGCTGTCGTTCTTGATGTG